ATATATATATATATATAAAGCTCTAAAAATATTTGCAAATACCAATCACTAATTAGCATATTTTTCAGGATTAACCAGAATTAAAACAATTTTTTTATAGAGATTGTATGATTTATACATATAATCAGATACATATTATATATTGTAATTTCTAACATATATAATTAATAATTTTATACAAGTTTTTGATAATTTCATTTTTTCAAATCTGTGAAAATTGTATGATTTTAAATGTAAATATTTTCAATATACATATTTAACGAAACAATTATAAATAAATGAACAAATTATAAATGAATAAATTTAGATAAACAGAGTTTACTCTGAATTATAAATACAAAGTACTACTTAATCATCATATGGTTGATCAAAGTCATCTATTTATTCTTCAAAAATTATATATAACCAAATTATGCTAAAATGCTGCATGAAAATTTTCTATATTCAATAATTGGAAAAATATATCATTGAAATGATCATTGAAATTCAATGACATGGCTTATAATCATTGTCGCATTATTAGAAAATATTCGTATAATAAAAAAATAGAAAATATTTGATATAAATACAATTTTCATTGTGATATTGTGTAATACAAAATGTTACAAAGACTTCTTTTGTATAAAATAATATAGGAAAAAGTTCATTATTTAAATGACTTGTGAAATTTATGTATCATTGTAATATATGTATAGGAATTAATTTTTATTTAGTGAAAAATATGTAAGATTTTACGACATGTAAAAAGCATTCAATGAGATGTCACAAGGAATATATTGTTAATTGTATTATTTAATAAATCAGTTTACACAAAGTAACGGAAAAATTATAATTTATTGTAGAATTAAATTATTTAAAAATATTAAGGCAAACTTAATTTTAACAATGTTGCACTTTGTAGAGGGTCAACGTAAAAATAGGTAAAATGGCGTATCAAATCGGTCACGGGGGCGACGGTCTTTCGATCCACACCTGAGCAAACGCCGCTTATGCGCGACGCTTGCCGTAAATCGATGCGCCGTGGCTTTCAGACCGTACAATACATGTCATACGCCGGTCGACTTACATAGCCAGTGATACTCGGCTCGTTCCTGTTGTCTTGCTTTCCGGCGCCTGGAAGCGTTTTGTCGCGTCTTTACAATCGTACTGACGTCGTTGTTCAACGCCAATTTAGTCTAATCGAATTTACCATCCTACGACTACATAGGTAGGGTTATAATTTGATCGAGCATGACAATTTCTGATCCAGAATCTTGCTTTGCTTCGCTTCGATTTTCCTTCAAGTTCGCTTCGAGTCTAGTTGAGGGATTGAAACCGGTGGTCTCAATTTTGGTGAGTTCTGTCCCTAAATCGTGTGAACATGTTAAAAAAAAAAACTACTTTACACTGAGCATCGTGAAAAGGACTTTTCGCGTTGAAGCAAGTACAAGTTTGTATTCAAGTCTTTCGAGGGAAGACGATTGTAAAAAGCACTTTATTCACTTAACGCGAATTGTCACGGATGAATATCGTGTTGCAACTTGAATTCATAAACCGCTTTAAATACACAAAAAAAAGTCCTTGCAATTAGGATCCATTGTTACGAATATAAGCATTATTTGCGTTGCAGAAATTGAAAACGCACCGGCATCAATCTCCCTTCCAGTAGCGCATCGCCGCGAATTTAGCCGCGCGATTTCGTCGCGATTGCCATCTCCCTCTTTCTCTCTCTCTCTCTTTCTCGAATCTAACTTGGTGCGACTGCTTTTCGCGCAGGGAGAGTGCTATGAAGGGCCATCGCGGTCACCGCGCTGCCGTCGCCGTTGCGAGAAACAGCCCGCTGCCGGGATCGTGGGAGCCGTGATAGTGTGATATCCACCAATGTCGCCAGCGGTGGTGATCGTCGCGTGCCTCGTCGCCGAGGCTAGCAGCAGCAGCAGCAGCAACAGCGCGAGCTCTCGAGAATACGCTAGGGTGCTGTCACCTCACTAATCGTTCACGAGAATAATGAGAATCAACGCGACGAAGATGAGCACTCCGATCGAGGAGAAGATTGACCAGAAGCTGAAGGTACGTGTACATATACACATATTACACATATACACACACACACATACACGTACACGTACCCGAAAGGTTAGAAAAAAAGGGCCAAGACCGATCTCTTTTGTTGCCCGTCAATCTTCGGTAATCAATAATGCACCTGTACTTGTACTCGCACTTAGTTACGTGCTTGGGATACTCGCGATGCAGCGTGCGTGCAATAATCCTGGCACGCGTCTCGATGAATTTGCTATGTAGCACAGATATGCGGCAGATATTCCTGGGTGTCCGTTTGGTGCTTTGAGCCGAGTCCCGATTAAAATTTGAATTTGGGAATTAAAAACCACCTTTGAAGGTTAATTTAAGATCTCTTAAACTGATATTTAAAAAATGTCGTGACAAGGCAAAGTTGTTCATTAATTCATTAGAAAACGCGTTTAAAATACTATTTTATATAATGGATGGAATAACGATCGAATATTTAGCATTAATCTGAATATTTTATTGTGAAAATATTGTTTTCAAAATAAATAATGTGATCGGACACTATAGTGTTTAGGAAGAAGATACTGCAATTATTATATTGTTATTATCTATCACTAATCAAATAATGCGGTTTTGTTCTATTCAATCCTGAATACAAGGTGTCTCCTTTCGAGTCACGTTTGTCCAACATTAACGTTTCATTCAACGTATCGTAATCATAAATTAAGTCACGGCAGCATTTACCGCTAGATACGGTATGTGAATACGGCCTCGTGTTTTTGCATACGATAAGAACGAATGAAAGGTCAAAAGAGCCGTGTATGCGACTGTGGGTGCATTTTAGCCGGGTCGCGTTGCACGTAATTTGCGACGGTCTACTCATTACTACCGTCCGCTCCGAATAGATATACAGATGAAGTAACGTTGGGAGAATGCTTCATCGTTAGAAAAGATACATTTAAGCTCGTTAACTTTTATTGACGTTAAAAAACACAGAAGAATTTGATGAATATTTGAAAGACACGCTGGCTGCATTATTTCGAGCCGTTTTCTAAAACGAAATTAATTGTTAAAATAAAATTATTCTCTTTTGTTGTGCAGCTTTTCTTGTCTGTCATTCTATATACAAGCGGGAAAAGGTGCCTCTAGTAATTTGAAGTAAAAGTAAATAATAGGGCGCCCTTTGGGTGCGTTTAGAAAATTTAATCAACGCACAATCGGGATTTTACACCTCGGATGTGAAATTTTCTGGATCAGCACTCATCTTCAGTCGATGCATCACGTGCAATTGTTCTCTTTGCATGCGCATTCCGATTCGTTGGCGCGTTTTATAATCCCGATAAAATACTCGGCGCGACAGGTGTAGCTTTTCGATCGAACAACGGTAACGTCATTAATTTCCCGTAAACGACCGACAATTCGCCGATAGTCGGAAACTAGTGAGAAAAGTTTTCGGCGCCACGTTTCGCCGCCTTGTTTTCGCGATGTCCTCTTTCGAATCAATCGTAACCTAATCGATTTCTTGTTTCCTTGCAAATCGTAGCACTGGCCACGATAACGAACAGATAGCGAGTGAACTATAGTACAGTAGGATCAACTCTGACCGATATCGGTAGAATCGACCGTTCCCATAAACGTCAGTTAAAGATAATCGAAGTTTCAGCGATTTTCTGCGTCCTCCTTTTTAGACATACGATTGAAAATAGGAAAATCAATTATAAATCTTGACTAATTTTGAATGCTTGTAAGAAGGAGCTTTTACATGTTGAAATTACCTATTTGCCGCTGGATGCGCCAAGCTTTGCAGCCTTGAAAACAGCACAAACAGCATCTAATTGATGCCTCCGCGGAAACAAGCCGTATTATTTGCGTTGACAAATGTCTGTTTGTGCTCCAAATCGATGGGTTTAGTATCTGCTATTATAACTATGGAAAAATCAATATATATATTCGCGTAGAGCAGCACGGGCAATATTTGATTATCTTTTTATTAATAACGTGTAATATTACACTGACGAATTGGTACATCCAACGATGTTAAACAGCGTTGCAGAGTTCATTTTTACGTCGCCGTAAAATTTGTGATGTTATCGCGCACACGGTTTTATGAGCACAACAATAGTTTGTTACGGCGCAATAAAGTTCTCATCCCGTAACCGCGTAACGGCTGCTCTATGTTCGCTTTTCTGTGCAAAAACAGAAAGGGTGCGAACGACATCGATCATTTCCGCGTTGCGCTTCCCGGACATTGAGGATTATTATGAAAAAAGCTGCAAAAAATGAGAAAACCGCGTAACTCGATAATATTCTGCAAATTTGCGGGACGTCCCGGAAAATTAATACGTGCAATGATAACCAATACAAAAAGAATGAAAGAGTATTGTTGCGAGATTAGAAAAGCATCGAGCTGTCATTTTCGACCAGCATTTAAACGTACATTTATTTTCCAAATATGAAATATATAAATAGTCGAACGTCTAAACGAAGTTAGCGGATGCTTTAAAACTATAAAATATATAATTACAATTTATCCTAGAAAATTTCAGAAAAGATATATTTCGTTTGAGGCAAATTGATCCCAATTTGGCGTGACGTTAATCGATACTTTGAAAACTGGTTTGCATATTTGGAGAGAACTTCGAGAGCAGTTCAACGTTCTAATAATAATTAATTGATATCGAATTAATTGGAACGCGGATGGATGGCGACGCGTACAAATGAGAGTACTGCCGGTTGGTTTACTAAAAATATAGTGTTAAATGTGTACGGAGTGCATTCTGGAAAATTCGCCGTGTCCCATTTTACCGATTTAACGACCCGAAAATCTCATTTATCGAGCACAGTTTTGATTGTCACTTGCAATTAATATATACGTATATTATGTATGTCGAACCGACCAATTTAGCGGCTTTCGCGACCAATCGAGTGTAATTTTCTTTGACACACGCGGAATCGATTTGTTCGCCACTGCATAGAAGCGGACATAGATTAATTTTTTTTTTATGAATGTCGAGATCAGATTTTCATATGCGTGGCATATAAATTGAATGGGCGTAAAAATGAATTCACTCTATAAATCTCTTTGATATTTTATATTTGATTTGCTGTATCCCAATTTTTACCTAAAGTGCACTGCAACAGTTTTCCGCTTAATGTGGAAAATGAACAACTTTCATGATAAATTATCTCTCATTTTTATTGACAAAAAAATAGATAAAAAAATTGATGAAAAACAGCTCACAATCTCTAATTACCGAATGGTTATTATTTTATTATTTACTTATTTTTCTCTATTACTGCGCACTTAGAGCTGTCATCGCCGAGAAAGAAATGCCAGAATTAGACCATTGTCGAATAATTTAGAGAGTCTTCATATTGAGAAGGAGAACGATCGATTAATTAAACGAAACTACACCAACCCCTGCACGCCCCCTCCGCCTTTACGCCGAAAAAATGATATAATGGATATTTGCAAATCGTGTGGATAACGTGGCCGTCGTCAAGCCGCGTGACAAATTAACAGATATGAATTAATTTGAACCGACCTATTGCGGTCTCTCGCTGGTTAAATGTAACGGGTGGATTCGTGTCGTATCGCCGGCCGCCAACGAACGGGAAGTAATGCAATAACGATTCCGTTTAAAATAATTAGGAGCGATCGCTGTAACGCAATAGAACGCTGACATTCAATTAAGAATGTAGCGAAACGACTCCGAAGCCTTATGCATAAATTCATGCAACGACTTTGTTCGGTTCAATCAATCAATATGCAGAGCTCATTTGTATCCGCATCAGTCTAACGGCAGCGCGTCTTCTCTTCTCTTTTAATCTTTCGCTTACTTCCGTGCCTTTGAAGAGCATCGCTTTTGAGAACTAAAATAACTTTTATTCCCTCTCTTCAATCCCCCGCGGGCTTTTATCTTGCCTTTCCTATCTCAATTCCGAGTAGCGAATGCAAACTACTTTGTGTTGGTTGTGAAAACATAGAAAATAGCGGATATTAGATGCGGCGCAAATCATAAAAATATGGAGCGTCTTTAACGAATTGTGATAAGTCGAATTATTCGGTTTATTATTTGAGACCGTCAGTTTATGGATTTATCGAAGTTTTCGAGCTCTTTATCTTCATTTCGACACGCGCGTGAATATATTTCGCTTATTTCGAGCGAATAAAATGACACTTGGATAGAGAATACTTTTTATCAATTTGAATTTATTATTGATAGGTACGGACGGGGATGGTGACGGTTAGCGATGGGAAAAGCAAGCCCGTGCCGATGCGTTTGCACTTGTCTATGGAGGTATTGAAGCTTCAGCGAGAGGATCTCGAGGTAAAGTGCCTTTCGATAATCACACTGTTTGTTCTTTGAATGAATGATGCTCGACCGTCGCACCAATCTGGCGCCTTATCGAACACAAGCACGGTGAGATATGTTAAAGACAAGGATGTATTTTAGCAGGCAGCGAATCACAATAAGCCACCTCTGGACGCTAAAGAGCGCATGGTGCAAATCACCAGGCAAAAGGTCGGTGGTTTGGGGCTGAGCATAAAGGGTGGCGCGGAACACAAACTTCCAGTACTCATATCGAGAATCTATAAGGGTCAGGCCGCCGATCAGTGCGGCCAGCTCTTTGTAGGAGACGCAATTATTAAAGGTATCGAAAATTGTACACACGCTTCAACATTAATATCATGTATAAATTATATCGAAATTATTAATACAATGGGAGTATATTTTATACATTGTAATATGTATTTTACATTTTTTTTCTATAAATTGCGTAAAATATGTCTTTTTCAATTTATAATAACAATAAGTATTTAATGAAAATTATTAATGACACTCTATGCTGTTGCAACATTAATATTACATTCAGCTTTGCATTTAATGCTATTTAAATTAAATTATTTCAATTTAAAACTCTGATATTTCGATAATATTCATTTTCTCTTTATTCGCACCGGTTGTAATGATATGACGTTGACAGTTCAGCAATAGTTGAGCAGTAGCGTATACAATTAATGAGTATTGATTTTGATTCTTACTTCTGTCAATGCTCGCTCCTATTGAAACAGAGAGTTGACATCGACACGATTCCGTGTTACACCCGAATCAAGCTCTGCTTGCGTTACAGCTCTTTGTATACGACAATGTTGAGAATTTATTGAATTACATAATTCGTGCTCTATGATTCTACAGTGAACGGAGAATATATTACGGCCTGTAATCACGATGATGCGGTGAATATTTTGAGGAACGCCGGTGATATAGTGGTTCTAACGGTCAAGCATTATCGAGCGGCCAAGCCATTTCTGCAGAAGAACGGTACTGTAACGTTAAATATTATCGCGATAACAACTGGCAACAAAATTAACGCAATCGATATGACATTTTGTACATTGACGTTTAAATTTAATCTGCATCGACAGAGAAAGAAGAGAGGTTGGATAATGTTGCCAATGGTACAGCGGAGGACGGATGGATATCGCCTAACAGACAGAGTAGCAGTCCCAGATGCAGCCACAGTCGACAAAGCTCCAACGCATCTTCCAGTTCAATGCAATACAAAAGATGGGTGGACGTCATTACGGGTAACTGTACTTCCGATCAAGTTTTAATATTTAAAATTCCATCTATTTTTATATTCCGCATTTAGCGCCGAATGCGCCATTTGAATCCGATTCTATTTTTATCTCATGTACACAAAGCGTTTCAGTGCGACGGTAAAAAAAGATTGCCATTGTCTAGGAAGTTATTTTTAATAAAGCATTACCATATGTGACATGTATAAATAGACACGTAATTTATATGCAACAGTTTATATTATTTCTCGGATGGAAAATCCGAGCGTTTGCAGTTGAAGCGAAATATGAATACGTGAGCGTTGCTTGCGGCACATGATAATTAATGCGACACTTTTTCAGTCCCGTTAATGATGGCATACGTGACGAGGTATATATTCGGTACCGATAAATTAAGGAGAAACGCGTTTGAAGTGAGAGGACTTAACGGGGCGCGCACAGGAGTGATACATTGCGATGACAGCGCTATTCTCAGTCAGTGGTTGAAATATATAACCGATAATATCACGGGATTGACGCATTTGCAGGTGATACTAATAACGCAGTTGATCATAATATTGGCATATCTTTCTATTTATCGCATTTCAAATTGCTTCAGTAATTCTATTATTCATTAATTACGCGCTCGTTATATAAATAGATTAAGCTTGAATTCAATTTCAGATGAAACTGTACAATCGTAATTTTGGAGTCGGCGAGCGAATAGAGTATATGGGTTGGGTGAACGAGGCAGTGAGCAATAGCAATCAACCGTGGCAGAGCTACAGACCGAGATTCCTAGCTTTAAAAGGACCAGACCTATTGTTATTCGAAACGCCTCCTGTACGTATTAGTCTGTGCTTTTCGTCTCATTTTGGATTTTTAAAGTCATTATGGATTTGTTCCACATATCACGTGTGTTCAAATCAAATTCTTATTGTTTTCAGTGCAATATTGGCGATTGGTCACGCTGCGCATTGACTTTCAAAGTCTACCAGACAATGTTCCGCGTGATGCGCGAGTCGGAGAACGTGGACGAGCGGCAGCATTGCTTCTTGGCGCAGAGTCCAGGAAAACCGCCGCGTTATTTGAGCGTCGAGACCAGGCAAGAACTCCTGCGAGTCGAGGCAGCATGGCATACCGCTATATGTTCAGCTGTTACGTATTTAAAGGTGAACGCATTCGCGTATATTTTTACGAAATATTTTTAACGCCGTTGCCCCGTCTCACATTGTTTCTCTCCTTATTGCAGAGTAAAACTTTTCCGGTAACCTTCAATAGTAGAAGCGCGGGCCTAACGTTAGAGTGGACTCAAGGATTCACGTTGTCATATGAAGGAATCGGTGAGATCGCGTGGCGTTACAAATTTTCTCAATTAAGAGGATCAAGCGATGATGGCAAGAGTAGGCTCAAATTGCACTTCCAAGAACCGGATAGTATTGCTATCGAAACAAAGGTAAATGCAAATCTTGTAGTAAAACTGAAAAGGTGTGTTGCAACACAGTGTTCCAATTCAATCTTTTTTTCAAGCTTTTTAAATTAAATATAATTTTTTTCTATCGCGAGAAATTGATTTTCAATGTCTTCAACGTTGACATTAAAGATTGGTTTTATCGAATTCTTAAAAAGGTATATTAAAAATCTGTGTTGCATACAACCCTTCAATTTTTCTTTCTCCTACATGTATAAGGAGCTGTGTATTTACGTTTTGCGTACGTTTCGACAGGAATTGGAGTGTTCCCAGTTGCAAAACTTGTTGTTCTGTATGCATGCGTTTCTTACCGCGAAGGTAGCCGCGGTAGACCCCACATTTTTAACGTCGACCACTCCGTAAAGAGATGTAATATAAATATAATATTAAACGTTATTGCCGACGAATCACCAAGTGGATCACTTTTGTGTTCTGTTGTCGTTAAACGGATTAGATAGAGCGTATGCGCTGAAAATTTACTGGGAAGAAGAGGAAAAAAAGAGAGAAAAAAAAAGAAGAGAAGGAAAAGGAAAGCGACAGAAACTAGTCAATATATCCAAAAGGTATTTTTATTGTTCACGTATAAAGATCACAAAGCGGTACTACTACTACTCATCCTACCAAGCCAATTTCACTAGTACGTATATGAACCTAACGGCTATTACAGTATTGTACGCATCTAGATAAGAATTCCCGTGCGTGTCCAGGAGCGACAGCATATATTTACTAAGGGTGTTTGGATATCCGAAATCACAGGTTCCGAAATTGCTCGAATTGGGTCGAAACTTTTGATCAAGAGATTTTGAAAGTTTCTTATTGTATACTTGATAACTATAATTTCGAATATTCGAATGTAGACATTGTGTATCGAATCGAGACAGATCGGACAAATGTATAATAACGTATTTAATTGTTATTTGCATAGTATTTTATAATTTTTTATGCAAATGTATCTTACACACAATTAATTTGACAAACTGGAAAATATATCTTTTCTTAAAACAAAATTTTTTTAAGCAAATCTATCTTAAACACAAGAAATCTACTAGAATGAAAAGTATATGTTTTGAAAAAAAAAGAGAATTTTTAAATAAGTTTATTTTGGATGTCAGTGTGTCATGTAAATCTAAGTTAAATACAATAAATTTGTCAGATCTGAAAAAAAAAGTTATTGTGTTTATTAAATAGCTCAGTAATATAATTGAGACTAAAATATGAGAAATTAATGTCTTTGATTATCTTTTAAAACTATTTTGATATCTATCGAAATTTTTTAAAAACTCTGATAATACTTGCTGTAATGTAATATAAATTTATTTCTGTCGGATTACAACGAGTGTTTTTAAAAATCTATAAAAGATTTCGACAAATATTTAGGTAACTTAGATATTCTTTAATAAATATTAATATATTTCATTAAATTTTAGATATTTTTTTCTTCTACATTTTAAATATTTTTTATAAAAATAAGTATGGTACATTTATGCAGTAAATAACTCTTGGGATCTTGTTTCAATCTGATTCGACTTTCTAACATCTGTATATCGAATTCTATCGGGTTCTTGAACTCTCAAGAATACATGACAAGAAATCTTTAAGATCTAATCTTGAAAAAGATTCCCGATACTATATAATCTGTTATTTTCGAGTATCCGTACATTTCTAGCATTTACGAATGATTGTTCGACTACGATGCGATTTATGTTATCTGCTTTTGTGGCACACATTTAACGTGCTTGGAATTTTTTGAAAAATAATCTTATATATACATGACTATATATATTTTTTAGATAGCATTTTTACGAATACGTTTTTATTATATTTTAATACGAAATGCTCTTTTTGTAAACGTGTTGTTTGTAAACGTTGCTTTCGTTGATGTTATATGTCTAAAATTATCGGAACGGCGTTAAATTAAAATTTACAGATACCAACACACCGGTTCATGATTTTTAAGAGTTACAATGGCGAGAATATAATATTTCTTTACTTATAATAGATTACTCATACATTTATAGATTATATTGCATACCATACATATATCAGGTGCCTTAAAAACCATGAACAAGGAGTAGCTAAATTAAAGGAGGCATCAAATTTTCGTTTCTCGTCAATGAGAAGATTCACCACGCATTCATATATTTAGGGTATTGACAAAAAACAAAAATTGTTGCATTTGACAGTAGAGAAAGTTTTGCAAATAATTTGCAATCTTAAAAAAATGCTTTGAAGAGTGTGATTGAATTGATAAACAGTATTGATTCGTCCAATACAATAAAACGTCAAAGTAACTCTATTACAGCCCTATAGCAATAAATTATAATCTATTATTAGATGGCTCACACTCGAATGTCGAATATTGGAATAGTTTATTTATCGATGCAGTATTATCGATGGGGGCAATAAGTTCTACAAATTAAGCATGAATATCATCGAGTTATTAACACACTTGTAATTGTATTTCTCTATACTAAGCGCAATAATTACGTTTTACTAATCGTTTAACTTACAATTCACGAAAATTCGTCTATATCCATAATTCTCAATTGTGAAAGAATGTCGTACGTGCTGAAAGCTTATTTGATACGTAATAAATATATGAATGTCATGTTTAAACAACTCGACAGATCTATAGTGTCTTTAAATATATCAATTATCTCTTTCCAATATCACTAGCTATAGCGATATAGAGTTAATATTGTATATTATGTGAGTATCTTATCAGTTCGCAATTATATTTAAAGCAATAAATCTATAACAAACGAACAATTAGAGAAATATACGATAGAGAGTAGGATATATATCACGTGCAAAATGTATCCAAAATCGTGGTATAATCGAGAAAGCAGTGATCTCTTATGCAAAAATAAGTCGAAAATTTAGAATAAAATTTTTTTACGCTTTATTTTTGAGAAAATTGATCTTCCTTCTTCATTATATTATTAATAATATATATAAAGACCAATTTTTTCAATTTTCAAAAACGAAGTCTTATAAAATTTTGTTCTGCATTTTCTTTTTCTTTTTTTTATTTTTATTTTTATAAGAGAAATTATTTTCTTTGGTTGTACTATAATTTCGGATATATTCTGTATATATGATAAGAAAACTGCATAATAATTATAATGCAAGAAAAAAAAGTATCATTATCAATAGCATCTGCGAGATTGTTGCACATTTTCCATTATACGCCTAATCATGTTTTAGTTTTTTTACGTGTAAGCGATCACGTACATTACATCATACATGATGTAAAACTACTTTTAATATTCAGGAGACTGTCGTGGATTTTTATTTCCATCACGTGTTTTGGGTGTCTCCGGTTACTCGTAGAAAGTGCCTACAAAGTAACATAGAGAAAATGTAAGAAAGTCCACTTCTGTTATATCATAGCATATCTCTTTAATGCCGACTGTACTTTTCTAGTCTGTAAAATGTCAGGGTGCGGTACTCGTAGTCACACATACAATATGTTTTTAATATTGTTTATTTCTCGAAATTCAGAAGCATTGGGAAAAAGAATATCATCATTTTTTTTCGTCGTCGTACAGACATTTATCATATAAAAGGGTACTTTCATCTACATATTTCTGAACATTATTCATGATGGACATATTAGGTATATATATTATAATAGTATAAGAATTAAACAATATGTGATCTTGAATTTAAGTACAGAGAGATAGCAATATTTTAAAAGTTGATTTAATTTAAATTTCTATTAAAATAATATTAAAATTAATTGAAAAGCGAAGTTTAATTGTTTTAATATTCTCGATATTTAATATATTAAAATTTTTATTATTTAATATTATTTTTATTTCGAGTGTTTTATTTTATTTTAAATTTTATTTTTAATTAATTTTTAGTTTTAACGTTGAACAGTTCGCGTTATTTTTTTCGATCATTCTTTATTCTAAGATGTTTTGTATTATTAATTTTTCTTAAATATTTTGTTAAACTCATTGCATATTCTTTGTACTCAAAATCAAGAGAATCAAGAACTGCACAATTATATAAGTAAGTTAAGAAGAATGGAATGAAGCTGGAAAAATCTAAAACAATTAGGTCTAGATTATAGTTATTTATTAAAACTACAAATATTGTTCTACGTAGTGTATTGTTGAAGAATATCTAACATTTTGTATATTTTACTAACTTCACGAATTGATTAAATTTATTTATAAATTGAACATTTTATATTTATCAAACTAAAAATGGTTTAATTTGTATTACATTATACATTATACATATAAGCAGGGAGCGGCAAAAAATTTATAATAAATTAATATTATTTAATTATTTAATTAATTATCACAGAAGAATATTTTCCGTTTAATCGATTAATCAGTAATCAAAATGAAAAATTATTTGATTACTCAATTAACTAATAATCAAAGCAAATAAAATAATTTAAATTACTTTATCAATCATTAATCAGAATTGAAAAAATTTTCGTTAGTTGATTAATCGGTAATCAGAATGAAATAATTGTAATTACTTGATTACTCAATAATCAAGGTCTGATATTTCTTGATTATTTCAGTTAATTAATAATCAGCGTAATAATCATCAATTTGGTAATATTTCTTTATATATCATTTATTAAATATTTACTTTAGATATTGCATTGAGAGAAGCAATTACCGAATCTTGCGAAATATTTTTTTAAATAAACGCAGACTTTTTCATTCACATTAAATATATTTGTTGATGCCGATCCCTGCATATAAGTAAATATTGTGAATTTTGTTTGTATTTATAAACTTGAAAGTACATTTTTCCTCAAATCTATGTGCTCGTATGATTTTCCAAATTCAGCTCATTCCATAAGTTGTGTAATAGAATAATTGTAAATAGCATACGATACTTTGCCTACTAATTCAGTTGAAGATATTCAACTGATTAATTTTAACAAGATTCTAAATTCTGTCTTTATGTTTTGTATTCAAATTTACTCGTTAGATTCATCTTCTTCTCTTTGCGGTTCGTATGCTTATACTGGATGGTATAAGAAATGAGATGCAAGAGCGAACTTGCGACGCCGGCTAACATTGATATCGGAATCTTACATTTCGAAATATAGTTTATCTGTTATAATGTCTATCCCCCCATTGACAATATGTTCCAAAATATATCATTGTTAGAAGTTACAAATCTGATGCATCCTTAATTGCCTATAAAGGGAAGGAGAATCTTTTATTGCATAATATTAATGTAGATGTACTTATAATTTATAAAGTAAAGACATGAATTTTTGTCAGTTAATACAATTATTATTTAACAATATAATTGATAACTTTTATATTAATTCAATTATTACCACCAAATCTTTATTTTTAAGAGTTTACAATTTAAATATTATTAATGGATTTAACTAAAAATGCTTTCTTTCGATGAGTTTTGAAATATACAAAATTTTCAAGAATAAATTAATGATTTTTGTGCATTCTCATAACTTACCGAAAGAAGAAATGTTGCAATCTTCGTCTGATTGTGACAAATCAATTACGTATTTTAAAATTTGCGGTGAATACGACGCGCATGCGCTCTTCGGTAAACAGTGTAGGCAGTTTAACTACACTTCACTTTGAATTGTGTATTGGCTATTCTGGAAAGGAAACGATATCTCCCTAGTCGTCATCTTTCGCCATTAGCTTTTGTGCTTTTGACGGGTGAAGTTGTGTGCGTTATGTCGTGCATTGTTATACATATATATGTATATAGAGCGCAGTGTCAAAGTTGAAAATAGAAGTGACGGATTCTATCAGAAATTAATCATATTGTTATCGAGTTTCACGCACGGCTCTACTCGCGGTAATTCGACAGCAACGCGTCTCGCGTGGGAAGGGGGGGGGCGGGCCATTTTCATAAGCGATTCTGATATTTTTTCTTCCACGGTATGTCAGAGGGCGAGGCTTTGTCGCAGAAGAAGCAGCAACCATTTCACTCGCAGCAACAGCAGCAAATCGGAGCAGGCCCGATGGCGAATATGGCGTGGCAATATCCTACGAATAATATGCACAACATGTTTCCTCCTTTCCCAGGGTGAGTTACGACGTTAAACACTGCGTCGGTCGACAGTGTTGCGTATTCAGGGGATTCGGCAATGAATCGACCATTTCGTCGATATGACAGCCCCCTGACCGTTAATGTCAAAATTTGCGTTTGCTGCGCAGATGTAGAATATCGTGCTAAAAAAACCTTACCTTGCTTTAAAAAAGGAGCTAAGTTGAAGGCGCTCCAAAAGTAATAAAAAAAAAGAATGTAGAGTGTCGCGTAACGAGCGTAGAAGTAGAATAATGAGCAAAATATTGGATTTTCTTTTAAAACTTTGTTAACTGGAAATTTTCTAATTGGATTTTATACATCAGTATTTACGGCGAATATAACATAGAAATAAGAAATCTGATACTATATATATGTAGTGTTTATATACATATATACATATACTCAATCCGAGCTCGTGTCCTTGCCTGAAAGTTTGATTGTTATCACATTATTATGCTTCATCGACTGCTTTTGTTGATGTTATTTGAAGGGTACTTACAATTATTTCGGGAATTTTGTATTCAATATTATTTCATAGTATTTCAAAGTTTAAAAGTAGACAGAATTTGCTATAAAATTGATTATAAATCTCAGAGTTGTATTTGGAGAGAAATTAATGTTATAAAATGTAAATTTTTTTCAGGCAAATGTATGCAGGCCCAGGATATCAAGGTGTGCCGCACCAGGGACAGATGTTTAACTATTATCAAACGATGATGCCTGGATATGGTCAGACTTTTAATCCACAGCAAATGCAGCAGCAACAACAACAGCAACAGCAGCAGCAGCAACAACAACAGCAGCAGCAGCAGCAGCAACAGCAGCAGCAGCAGCAGCAACAGCAGGGGAACAATCAAACAAAACAGCAGTTACATCAACAACCTCCTATACCTGGAACTCCGATGGCACTGGATGAGGATTCAGATCTTCCTCCGCTGCCACCAGGTCCACCGCCAGCGGTTCAACAGACTCCACAACATAACAATCACATGCAACAACAGCAGATGTCTTATCCGGGACTTATGTACAACTCGTTCCCCTACAATAATTGGAATGCAATGCACAATACTTCTCGTTAGTATTATTACTCATTTTTTTTCTTTTTGACGATAAATTCAAATGGACGAAGGAATGACTGTTAAAATTGGCAATTTACATTAACAAGAAAAAAGTTAATTATGTCAAATAATTTTATTGAAAAAAATTGTTATTGTGTGTAACATGCTAATCTTTTTTAGTAAAAGTAACTGAGATTCTATATGATTTTTAGGAAAGAAATTATTCAGAAAATTTGGATTCATAAATTAAGTACCGACGAATGATGCGCTTATAACTAAAAAATTTCTGAAGAATTACCTTTGTCTGAAATGTGACTTCTGAATATTTACTGTTATTAGAAAGTGATAAATCTTTCTGAGTTTACTTTTTTTGTGAAAATTATGTACTTTTATAACACGAAAGAATCGTTTATTTTTCATGAAATTCATACTTTGCCCATAACATATTTGTTCGAGCATGTAATTAATATGAGGTATACTTTACAGAATACAACGGACAGATCCGTTTCAATCTGCCGAACAAGAAAACAGGTCTTGGATATACGCCATCCGGCAATAGTGGTGCCGCGAAGAAAAAGCGTAAGCGGAACAAAAATTTAGCAGCTCAATTCAACAATAGCTTTCAGGAAAACACTCCAACAATCGGCCCCTTCATGCCTAATGGGCCCAACGCGAAGTCAGTGGAACTGCCGCCGTTGCCGCCCGCGCAGTGTGAGGTGGCAGCTCCTCCGCCTCCGAGTGAGGAACCACCGCCTAGTGCCGTCGTGCCTGTCACCAAGGCGTCCAAGAACGCGGTTTCCAGTGCCAGCGTCGCTTCTTCTATCACGACCACTCCCAGTCCGGTGGGAGACTGGCCTGACAGTTTGAAGAATTACGTGAACCGATGTTACGAGAAATGTAAGACGGCGGTCGATAAGGATCAAGTCGAGATCATATTGAAGGGAAAAATCACGCGCGCTGCGAACGACGGTTCGCTCTGGGTGAAAGACTGGGATAAGGAACCTCTGCCCAGCATCCACAGCGAACGCATGACTATGATAATCAAACCTCAGAAGCCGGCGTTAAAGTTGGCGAATCCTCTGGCCAGCCCACTGGTCAATGCACAGGGAGGCCTGCGCAAGCCCGGCCTCTCCAGCTCTCTCGGGGCTCGGCTTGGCGCGCGTCTCTCTGTGACACACAGCAGGCGGTCGAGGTCGAGGTCGAGATCTAGGTCGAGGTCAAGATCAAGATCCAAGTCGAGGTCGCGATCCCGTTCGCGGTCACGCTCGAGATCAAGGTCGACGCGTTCGCGCACACGTAGCCCGCCATCGCGCAGATACAACAGGCGCAGCACATCTTCGTCGTCGAACATTAGCGATCGGGAACACGATTACAAGGCAGTCAAAGTGAAAAAATCCGCGCGCAACAACAACAAAGCGAATCACAACAACAAGAAGACAAAGAAGATTAAGCAGAATAAGTCACATTTCTATTCCGAGTTTGGTTTAGCTACAGGCAATGCGGACGAGTTGGGCACCAAGGAGAAGCTGCAGCAACGCGCTGCCAGATTCAACGACGGCGTTTCCAGGACGGTGGCCAGCAGTGTCAGCGTTAGAGACGATCCGAACTCGGTCGACTTCGACTTTACCGGACTCCACATCGTCGGCACGTGCAAGGATCTAGAGAAGCCTTATTTGCGTCTCACATCGGTACGTAAACACTTTATTTATATTGTCCTATCTTTATAGTAAATATGAAATATTTTATTCAGTCGCTCACTGTCTATTGAATGGAATACAACTAATTTACACACGCAATGTCATACTCAATATTTTCATTTTCACAATCTCAAAGTTTTTGACCTCAATCATTAAAATACATAATTGCGCACTCAATATTATACTGAAGATGATCAGATACAGAACCGAAACGTTTATATAATTTTTGTATGAATTTAAGAAGTTGTTAATTGCATAACGACATCCGGCATCGGCACGAAATCCTCATTTCACAATTTATCGTTAATATAAGAGCCTAAAAACATATATTTAAAATATTTTATTCCATAAAATAATATAAATTTTATTCTGTAATTTACAAAATTTCGATAAAATTTTATTATGCTGTATTTGCAACACATTGAATTTTACTGCAGTGCATAATTTTACACTTTTATGATATCATTACAGGCTCCTGCTCCTTCTGCAGTTCGACCGGTAAGTGTACTTCAAAATTCTTTGGCCCATGTCAAGAAACGTTGGTTAGCCGACCAGGACTACAGATATGCTTGCGATCAACTGAAATCCATTCGGCAAGATCTTACCGTGCAAGGTATCCGGGACGCGTTTACAGTTCATGTATACGAAACTCACGCTCGTGTAGCTTTAGAACGCGGCGATCATGAAGAATTCAATCAATGTCAAACACAGCTGAAGATGTTGTATCAGGATCTTGGGGGCGAAAACCGATGCGAGTTCGTCGCGTATCGCATACTCTATTACATCTTCACAAAAAATACTCAAGGTTGGTAATGAAATTGACAATGTAAAAACAAAAAAAAGTCCTAAATTAGTAGCTAAAATCCAACGGCGCGATATAATTATTAAATTTTCTGTTAATGTTGCGGTAATGTTTTTCATTTTAGACATGACGACAATTTTAGCAGCACTTACGGCAGAGGACAAGAACGATGAGTGTATAAAGCATGCATTGAAAATACGCTCGGCGTGGTGGTTGGGTAACTTCCATGCTTTCTTCAAACTATATAGAACGGCACCACGAATGTCCGCCTTTTTAATGGATTGGTTTGTCGCGAGAGAACGGAAGAAGGCATTGAAATTCATGATAAAGTCGTACGTATTAAATCTTATTTATATTTTATTATTGAACAATTGTCCAAGTATGTTTAAATTTAATTATTTTTTTTGTAAAAATTACTTTCAAATTTGGTACAAATTTTTTAAAATTATTTTAATTATTTTAATTTTGGATTAAATTTTATATAATGCGATTTTTTATAAATTTCTAGATTTTTTTCATTTTTTTTTTCAATTAGGAAATAATTTGCAAAATAACAGTATTCCAATTTCAATTTTACTATCCATTTATAAAGACATTAAAAGAGTAGAGTTGTAATATCTAATTATATTTTATAAAAATAATTTAATAGAAATTGTACAATATTCCTTAATTAATTTTCAGAAATCTTGTTTTTACATGTTTAAAAACATAATGTTTTGTGTTTTTTATTAACAAATGCTAAGATTAAGATTTTTTTCAATATTTTCGTTTTATAACAAAATTTTTTTCGTGTTTTATTATATGGATAATTTATCAAAAGATGTAATTGAAAAGTATATCGAATCTTAATTGATATACTTGTATATTATTAATTTGATATTAATTTCTCTAAACATTTAATTAAATTTCAGCGCCATATTTTAATGATATCTGTGATTCATGAACATGGTCCATGAATTATAATTGCAGATTTCTGTTACAGGACATCGTAGCGGAATGTTTATGATAATTGTATTTAATTGTTTTTGTCTGTTTTATGTACTCACCGCAACAATATCTGCGGCCGTTATCTAACGCTTGCATTTCTTGTGCTGTTTAGCTACCGGCAAAATTTGGCGGTTCATTTCGTCGTAGCGGAATTGGCCTTTGAGTCTTCAGACAAGTTTTATGAATTTGTCAGTGAGTTCGGCTTGGTTTACGCTGATCTCATTCGACAGCAAATCGACTGCAAGGCGAGCAGTGGTAGTCTAGGTGGTTGGTAGAAGGCAACGCCGCTCTACTCTCCTACCTTTACCCCTCGTGGCGAAAAATAACGTAACACGCGAAAGAAAAAAAAGTCCTTCACACATACACATGCATATACATGCACAATAAATGTGCATCATATGTTTATATGCATATGTTTCCGGCATGTTACGTGCGCGTGTACGACGCATATGCATATATATATTTGACGGATATTCTATTTCACTGTTACGCGTGTCACTATAAATTCTCCTCGCTCTCGGAAGCCGCACGGTGTTGATTCCGTCTCTCGCAAACGATCGTCATCATCCCACGGCGGTGCCACAATTTTACAACTGTCAGGCACAAAGTCGAAAGCCTGGAACTTCGTCTTCGCAACTCCGATCGTGCATTTGTACATAAACCACCCTTCGTTCGGTTTCCCCGCGCACACTTGTACTCGCAAGAGGACTTATATATTGGATTCTTCGTCGGGGGGCCGTGGAATTGTACAAAAATTGGGATGGATTAATTTCCATTCATCCGGCGCTACCTCAGTAAAAAGATTAAATGAAAAAAAAAACTCCTTATAAGGATTATCATAACGCAAATGGTAGAACCTGCAGTCTTTGCAAAAGAAAAACAAAGGCCATTTTTCGTATATTCTCGGGACGATTTGTCGACAGGACCGATTGTCGACAGGAGAAACGAACCTCTCTCTTCTTTCCAATCATTGTTAGCGTGACGCGCGCACACACGCATCACTGCCACAGTGATCTATCGATGTTCCAAGTATTCTTTTAAGTATTACCACACGAACAAGCTGTAGCTAATATCCCGACTGATCTACAACACAAATCTTTTTCCCTTTGAAGAGAAGAGGACTCTAATGAGGATTTTGTTCCACGGATTCGGAGATTCGATTCGCGTCTGAGAGGAAGATAGCGAGATGACTATACGACACGCAACTTGTATTCGTGAGAGACTCTCTTCTTAGTCAATGAGGAACACAGGATTTCCGGTTAAGTGACAAAATGCTATTTCTTGGACAACCCGAAGAAAACCGGTAGGAAATCAGACTGAGAGGAGGAAGAAAAAGTAGCAGACTTGTTTCCCGGGACATCGTTTTTCGGCTCGTTTTATCGGAACATCGTTATTTGGTGCTGAACTACGTGTCAATTTAAGAGAAAGCGTCTCTGGGTTGGGAACGAAGGCAGGAAGACCGAAGATTTGGGAGAGCATTATTTCTGCCGGACGCGATGAGCGGCGCTTCATCGTTAGTTCTCCAACACGTGTTGAGTGATTAATTTTGTAATTAATTTTATTCGCGTAATTTTTTTTTTATTAAATATCCATGCGCGAGCTGTAGATACTCGTCCACTTTGGAGTCGTCTTTTTCTCGTTGGACTTTCCAGGTGGCCGTTCTTCATTTCCGTGCGCGCATGGAAATGATGCATCATTGCGTTATCATACGAATTTGGAAAGGGGGATAAATCCATTGTACAATATTTACTCTTACGATGTTGTGCATAATAAATTATTTAATTTTCTGACGTTGTACCTCATTTTTTGTCGCGTCGTACTCTATAAACCTAGCGCACTTTTAGAGGAGACATAGATTGCGACTCGTTTTGCTTCGATTTTGCCTCGACGATGCTTTGCTTAGTAATTATCTCGTTTGACAGATTCTCCATATTCTGCAATTACAAACCGCGACATTTGCACTGTCATTGCTAATTATACATCGATTCGCTATTGGTCGATAAAATAAGTTAAATGTTATAAATAATTTAACAATCCACGAAGACGCACAAGTAGTAATCAAAACAAAAAACGTTATACTTGCATTATTAGATGAAGCGAATAAATCCGTATCCGTGACGTTAAATTATTCGAAAACTAAGGCTCTTATGATGTCAGAAGCGAAAAATTGCACAGATTATCTTCATTCATGTTCCATTATCCATTATCTCCATTCGATAGATCATAAAAAAATAAATCAAAGACTTTCTTGTTGGTTTTTCCGCATTCATGAATGGTGGTATGTTGGTTCATACATTTTACACTTAAATATTCTAAGTGCAGATGAATCTCACTTGATCAAGATCCGTAGCCTGATCTATTTATGAACCAAAACGATCTACGTATTTTATAAACCTATTTTGTAAAATATAGGCAGTGGTGTAAAGATCAATTTATTTCAATACATACTGCAAGTATAAATCACATGGAAGAATTCTCGCTTCTGACATAGTAATATGCGGCTGCAGCGACGAGCCAAAAGCCTTAAATATTCGATCGACATTGAAAGTAATGTTTTCTTGTTTACTGTTATACATATATACAGGGCCGTGCAAAGAAAGGGGGGAGGGGGTGCACAGCATGCACCGCACCAGGGCCCCCAGTGCTAAGGAGCCCCAAAGTTTCACTTAAATATATCTATTTTTTATTGTTTCTACCCAATTAATCTCTATCCAATTTAATTTGCACATGCAAATGATATTCATTTATATTTATAAATTATAAATTTATACATGTTGTATATATTTACATTTTATAGAACTGTTTATGTTTTGTACAATTTGATTAAATTCTACTTTTTTTTTAATGTACACGTTTATAAATAAATATAATTTTAATTATACTGTTTTTTTATATTTTCTAAACTCCTTAAAGCTTTTTTAATACGAAATTTATGAACAGGTAGGGGGCCCCAAAAACTCTTTGCACGACCCTGCATATATATATATATATATATGTATAACATATGCGTCTTCGACGCAGAACTGCAATTTTATATTGAAACAATTACAAATCACGTCGATACATGACCAGCTTTACTCAAAGATCTTTATAATACACTCGAGACACGATGTGCCATTAATCGGGTTAACTCGTTAACGCTCAGCGTCCTCAAACGAGAAGGGACATATTCTGACAAGAAATTCATTCTCCAAGTCGGGCAATCCAATTACGCACTACCAGTGTTCGTTAAGGCTTTGATGTGTGCGTTTGGCGGCTTTATCTGCCCAAGAGATTCCATTGCAAATCAGTTAAAAAATGAAATTTTCACTTTGAGAAATTCGGAACACGTTCACGCTCGATTAATAAATTTTCGTACACGTGACAATTCTCACACGAATAGGAACAGATCGCGCGGAAGAGATCAACGTCAATATAAATTTACGTGCGCATCGGCGTCGAGTCGCGAGCTACACAGTGCGTAAATAGCCTTACCGTAGTATTATTAACAGCGTCTCTAACGATACCGTGTGTATGTGTGTACACATCTGATTGATAGCTGACGTAATACATTAATTCACTTAAATATTAATAAAATAAAAAAAGTGTTAACTATGGTACGGCGAAATAACGTAGCTCCTGGTGGAAATGAAGTTGGGGGGATGATCGGCAGGCGCTGACCGCGATGACGGGATCGGAGAGGGAGGAGGAGAGGTAGAGTCCGTTTAAACGGAGAGGGACACGAAGCTGTTATACTGGGTGATGTTGCGTTTCAGGATATCGGCGCACGGGCCTAAGACCCGCTCGAACCGTGCCCGATCCAGTTTCACGCACTTCAACGGACCTCTTGCCACCACAGTCGCTGCTCGGGGCCTGTCCAACAATAGCGCTATTTCCCCTGCATCAGAAAAGCAATCAATGAACGAGCTGTTTCAATTTACTTTCGTGAAACATTAATTATGCAGCGGATCGTATAAACTCGTACAAAATTATTTACATTCTACGGTTAATTAAATTGCGGCTTTAAATATGATATAATTCTGCCTTCACCAATTATTATACTATTTATATTGAATTGAAATTTTAAATAGTAAAAATTTGCTATTTGATATTTTGACATATTCAATATTAATTTACTATTCTTTAATTATTGGAAAAAGTGTAAATGTTGATAAATGGATATTTTTCTGTGTGGATAGATATTAACTTTGTTGGAGTAATTATATGTTTGGCTTTCAAGTAATTTTGCACGTAGACTTGACATCAACTTTTGCTCCGGATTTGATCTTACCGAAGTAGTCGGATGGTCCTAAACGGCCAACTTCCGCGGGCTCATCTCCTTCCGAGCGTTGTTGAAGGACCACCGCCGTTCCTTCAACGATTATATAAAAGTCTTCGCCCGGTTCACCCTGTCGGACTATCGTTTCTCCGTCGTCGAATGCTACAGGTTCTAGAGCGTCCGCCACCGTGAGTCTTTCCCATTTATCCAATGATTCTGTAAAAAAGATGCGTCGAAAAAATCCTTAATACAATTTTTTTTCGCACATCTTCGTAAAAATCACTTTTTTTTATTATTCTAGCAAAGATCCTATGTGCAAAATGGGAGGACAGTTGTCTTCAGAAGTTTTCTAAAAGCTACTTTATTTGCAAAAGGAAACGACAAATGGAGAGAAAGTAAACTCACCCAATATTGAGACTCTGGAGAGAAATTCTTCGTACATTTTCCGCTTTCTTATGGTGGAGCCCATAAGAATTCTGCGATAGGAGTCCCTGTCGATGCCCCAGAGCTTCACATCGGTCTTCGCTCTGACCGTCGCGGCACGCGGAGTTCCGTAAATTAACGCGAGCTCACCGAAGCTGCCACCTTCGCCGATCGTCGTCGCCAGCTCGCCGTTGACAAATATCTCCACTTCTCCTTGGTCGATCACGTAGAAGTTGTCACCCTCGTCGCCTTGAAGAAAACGCGCGGCTCATTCATTCTGCGCGCTAATTGCAAATCGATAAAGTAGAAATGCAAACCGCTGGCACGTACCTTGACGAATAATCGCCTCGCCAGGCAGAAAGGTCACAGGAAACATCGCGTCGAATATGTCGGAACGTTCGTTCTCGTCCAGATGCGCGAACAGCACGTTCTTGGCGATGGCCTTGCTCAGGGCAGCCATCGTTTTGTAATCTTTGGGTACGACTTTCTTCACGTAGCTGGTGGCGTCTTCCTCGGAGACCGGCTCCGCCGAGATTCCGCCCCGCCGTCGCGGCACCTGCGGGCCCTGCTGGCCCGCAGGCATGTCCTCTGTATCCTCGGGACTTGTGGCGATCTGCTGTTTGGCATCGTGAGCTTGTTCCTGTTGAGCATGAATGAGACAGAGCTTTTAGTCGAGAGCGCAAATCGTTGCAGGATTAAATGCTTTAATGCGATGAGTCAGAGTCGGAACTCTCGAATTATCTGTTTTATAATTTTACTGGCAAAGATTCTCAATCGAAATACCAACGTTAATTCCAATTACTAAATTTAACATCAATAGTTTCCGAGCCAAGTAATTGAAAAGTGAGAATTAATAAGCCGATTAAAGCAATTAAAGTTTCAATTCTTTATTATTTACTCAAATTCAAGGTTTAATTAGGAAATATTTAGCGGCGAAAAAGTTGAAAATCATAAAATTAGGTCATCTTGATGAATAAAATGTAATTCATTCGGAAAAGCGCTATTTATTTTTATGGCAATTTTTATGCGATATTTTTTTTTTTTTTTTAAATTGTGGCGTGTTCGGGCGTACCATTAATAATTTATATCATCCTACATTACTTACTACCGTGTATCATTACTTAATTTGAATTCAATGTGGTACCGTACAGAAACTACTCTCACGAAATACAATTATATAACAATTGTGGTCACTAATATACGCATTTAGCGTACATTAGTTTCCTTAGTCTAATTCGTTTCGGTCTAATTAATTTAAGAGGTTCCTCAAATCTGATACATGAATCCTATGGAAAGTTCCTCTGTTCTGATTAATACAGCTGATCAACTTACAAAAAATGGTGTTTCATAAGAATCGTTTATCGATCTGAATAAAAATTTATCTCGACAGCGTGGAATACTATAATAAATCACTGCTACGTGCATTCTAAAAATCGTTTAGAGGTCATAACGGGTATTTTTCAAGTGTTCTTTAATGTATGCAGCGCATACTTTTAACCACGTGCAAAAAAATTAATTGCAGAAGAGCTGTCGCTGTCACGCAAGAATCGGAGCAATGCGTGGCAGCAGCGTGTTAAGGTCATCGTGTTAACGCACACTCGAGTTTCGCTGATGCTCGCGCTGAAGCGGTAATTGTTAAAAAAGAACGTAAATTAATAATTCACTAATTTTATACGCGCAACTTCCAAACTTGCCTCGTGTTTGTCCCGCAAAATTACCGTGAAATTATAAATTATGTAGGTCTTTACATAAAATCTCATATTACCATCGCTTTGTACGAGCGATGCACATCGTCGGGGCAAGAGAGGTGAGCGAATAATGCCATAGGTCAGTTGGCGTTTTCACGCACGAACGCCCCCCTCCTCTCCTCGCGGCGACAACGACGCCGGGCGTCGTCGGCGTCGTCGTCGTCGGCTTACACCGCGCTAACAGATATTCAAATCAGCGCGTATTCTCTATTTTAATTGCCTGCATACATGCTAATGACGAGTTAGTATCACGATCACTTATTCGGAAGATTCCGGAATATTCCGAGCGCGACATTTATAAATCACGCAAATCGCCGCTGACTATATTTGACATTGTAATAAATAGATGAATTAAAGAGATTAATGAAGCTTCATCTCGCAACGCTGTGAATTCCTAATTTTCACAGACATATTTAATTTATTGCGTTTGGGATCTTTTTTCGCGTTTCTCTTTACTTTTTTCAACAGAATCTCTTTGGTTGATAAAAACTAAGTTATATCGCGGTTAAAATATAATTTAACTGAAAATAATCGCCTGTTATTTGTTACGATTATTCAGTCGCTTGGAAGATATGCGAAGTAATGTTAGAATCGAGAACAAAGCAAAATAGAAAGTTGCTATATTTTGAAATCTATCTCCGACTTTAAGAAGATAAATTTTCTTTGAAATAAATTGTCTTCAATTTCTTTTGGTCTATTTACTTTTTTGCAAAAGAATCAGTATTAAAATATTTAGATAGTATTTCGTTAAAGAAAAATCGATACATCCGATTAAGCTTCTACACTAAATGTCTAAATAAATTATTTACCGAGAGATTCAGTTCACTTCGCGAATGGCAATTATTGACACAGGACACTCCAGATCACGATTCGTTAATGATCGTCCGACATAATGAAATGTGGCTCTTAATGAGTCGATAAAAGTTAACGATCCGATAAATCGTCTCTCTCTGCTTGCAAAGACGCGTCTAGGCGCCTGACATGCGCTTGTTATGCATTAAAAATAGAAGGCCAGAAGTCTATTTATCGGAATTATCCAGCAAATACGCTAAATAAATACCTATTTTTCAAAATTGCTATCGGACATTTGTAATTGCTGCGTTCAAGTTTATTTTGACGATCGATAATTCGAAACGGAATTCTATATACATCTTTATTCATTCAATTGAAAATATCATTACGGATAAAGGTGTATTAATATTATTTTACTTGCAAATCCAAATTATAACTACATAAATGCGCAATTATATCGTATACCGATCACCAATTACCACTGTCGCAGCTTATTATTCTTGGACTACGTGCGTTTGTACGCAGTAATTTAATAAAGGTGCATTATGTCACATTGCTATCGCAAACAACATGTATAAGTGAAGCTTTGAATCGTGGATCGTGATTATTAAATCTGTCAGTTTACTACGCATACCTGGCCCGCGCGCTTTCGGCACACGAAAATAGAACACGTTCCAATTTTATTCCGCGTATTACGAGCTATCAAAATCGCGCTAGATTCTTCGCCCCACAGCTGTCACGAATTATTGACTGTTTAAAATCAGTTTTAAAATGAAATTGAAATCTCGCAGTGATGAACAATCGGAGATGCGTGCTTGCGGGTGTAAACAACCGTGTGAACCGTGCGTAGCCGTGCACACACGGCTACATGCAACACATTGTATTAGATTCCAGTTCGAAGTCGACGGAATTAACGAAGACGTACGCTCTTATACAATCTCTGTAGTCAATGATGATATATAGCTACCGGCTGCGACCCATAAGCGTTACACATACACACGTCCCACATCCTTGAGCACACTCGTGACATAGAATCTCGGTTCTCATCTCGGTGCAAGTAGTGTTTTTCAAGCTTAGATCTTTTTCACGCGGCGCACGCCGCGCGAATACAATCCGAGATGAGTAAAGTATAAAGAAAAGTATTTATATAATAAATAAATATTTTTTTGAAAATTTAGTATGAAGCATATTTTGGATTCGCAGAATGTTTTTTTTTTTCTCTTACAGTAAATTGAGTAAATTTCAGGTCTGAGATACGTTATTTATTCACGTTTTAATCTTCAAACTTGAAAAGATTTAGATGGAATCTAAAGTTTTGCAAAAGTAATGAGAGATAATTGTACCGTGATAATCTCTAACATAAGTTACACGCGCGTCTGATTGACGAACATTTTTCACATCGATTTTTCTTTTCTCTTTAAAGTGTTTTACAATTTTTTTGTGCTTTTCTTTTTCTGTAGTTCTTTATTTAAAAATGATCTAAAGGACTGTAAATACCAGATATTTTTAGAAAATTACTTTTCGTTGAAAAAGATTGTACCAAAGCAAACAACATTATGAAACGTTAAATAGCATTTGTGAGAATCTGTTTAAGACACGAAACGAAATTAAAGAATATGCAAATTTTTAAAATAAAAGTAGTTTTCCTTGATATTTTGCCATTTTGTGTTTTTATCTACAATTCTTTAGTGTCAAGGCTTTCACCTTTTTTTTGAATAATAAACGAGCAGAATCAATCATATAATTCTTTTGTAGAAGTATAAATGTAGTAATTTTTACAAGAATTTGTCGAACACATACAGAACAATATCCTATTGTTCTTATCACAAAACAGTAGAATATTGGATAAAATCCACGCCGAAAATTGAAAAGATGAAAAGTAAAAAAGTTTACCAACAATTGTACAATCGACTTTCAATAGAGAATCCGATCACATAATCCCCTTTTACGATTGAAAAAGTAAAAAGCTTTCCAATTTGAAATGGGAGTGCTAGCAAAAATTTCACGAGATTGTGAGAATCTTGTTCATTTCACTTTGAAATCACAGATTCTTCGAAATCGCAATCACGTAACTTTCTTAAAACGCAATTGCAAGAATGAGATTCGCGTAAGGGAGTTGTCGAGAGGATTTTCAAACACAAAACTCCACCGACAATCAACACGATCTATTGGTCGAGATCAATTATACGCGCGCATAACTTAAGCGATTATGGCCGGCGCACACATCCTCTCGCGTACCTCGTTCATCATTCCTCTCGATCCTCCTCGATTTCTCTCCCTTCTTCTCACACTTTCTATCTCTTTCTCGGTCCTCCCGTCTTCTACTTTCCACGAATGTGCTAGCACTTATGAAACGGCCGCCTTTCACAGCAGCGCGTGTCGTAGGTCGGCGATCTCGCGAATGCACGGAAAAGGAGATTCGTCGCCGTCGTCGCTGTCGCACTCGCGATTTCGCGTCTCCGTCGTCGTTGTCCTTCTCCGTCTCCACCGTCGTTTCTTCCTCCTCTCAACCGCGCTTCGTGATTTTATAAGGCCTCGGACGGAATCCAATTAGAGGTCGGAAACGATCTAGCACGCGCGCGCGACTTCGTCCATCCGTTCGTCGGCGCGACAGCGTCGGTACTCTTACTGCCGC